ACTACTGTACTGCTTGGTTCCAGTGCGGCGAGACCCTCCTAGAGTTAAACATCAGACCTTTCACTGTGCATTGGTCTCATAATTGACTACATAAATATCTGCTCCATGTCAGAGAAAGCCTGCAGTCAGGTTCGGGCAGTGACAATGTACAGTCACAAGTGTTCAAGGCCTGTTCCTTTTCAGTGTTGTTGGAAAGAATAATTTCATCAGAAATGTTTTCTCATGATTTTGTTTTACTTTTCAGTATTTCAAGTCTTGTGGAAATATAATACTACTATTATTTTTAAAGGGAGATAACTGACTCCCCTGTTTTCGTCCTTGCGATTTTATTCCGCTGATTGTATCCCTTTTATAAGCCAGGTTCCTGGCCTAAACAGTGAGAAACAACCAGAGCCAATCACCTCTCCCTGTCATTTTGAGATCTGTGCACACTTAAAGGTCAAATGTTGGGATGATGATCTAGGTATAGCAGTAGAACCTGGCCTATGTTGATCTAAACTTGGGGGAGGAGGAGTGGTAGGCTTCATTTATGTCCCCCCTCCCACACCCTTTTGTGAAGTACTTGCCCATTCCCAACACACCCCGCTGTCACCATTCCATAGTGATTAGCTGTCCACCATTGTCAAAACCTTGGGTTGAAATGTGGTCGTCATTCACAGATCCTGGATCAGACTATCAATTTAAATCAAATGAAATGAAATAATTATCTGATCTGGAGTCTGTGAAAGGAGCCCACAGCTTTATGCTCACGTATTTGTGCAGTTTAGCTATGTTGGCGTTGCCATTTCTTCTGCATACGTGTGTGTGTGTGTCTGTGTGTGTGTGTGTGTGTGTGTGTGTGTGTGTGTGTGTGTGTGTGTGTGTGTGTGTGTACGCACACTTGCTTGTTACATGCAGTGCCGTTCCGTGCCTTGCAGCTATGGTTCTTGTCATTGTATATCACTTTCTATCTATCTTTTTGTGTTTGTTTTTTTTCCCCTCCCCTTTTCTGTTTTGCTTTTTTTTTTTTTTTTTTTTCTCTCTCTGTATCTATTGGCGGTGTTGCTCGCTCTTGTCCCAATGCCCCGCCCACCTCTGTGACATCACGGCTGGCTCTGTCCAATCCGATCAGCTGCTGGTGAAGGGGGTGAATGAGACGCTGGTAGCTCAGAGAGTGGTGCCGGCTCTCATCACACTGTCCTCCGACCCTGAAATGTAAGTGGAACAACAACAACAATAAACCGCGCCACGTCTCTCTCCCCCCTTCTCTTTGCCGCCTGAGACCCATCACACTGAAGCAAGTCTGTACCTGCCAGGAGCAAATTCAGCACAAAACAATCTCTCAAGACAGTATCTTCATTGATAAACCATTTGTTTTGTGTTAACGATTTAAATTTACAACTTCAGATTCTTCCTTTTGGTTTTTGCTCCTGTTTGGGTTTAGGCTTGGCCATGGGGTGGTTCATCAGCATTAACCATTGTCAAACACTAACCCCCTGCATGTTTGCATCATCAATCTGCAACACTAACCCACACCAGCTCTCGCCACCTCATCAGTCCTCAACACTAACCAGTCTAGATTTGTGCATGCATGCGGCAACAGCATGCTCGTCTGTAACCCCATCCCCTCCTCCTCTTCCTCCCCACCCCACTCCGTTTAAGCAGGGCCCTTCCTCCTGACCAACCCGTCAGCTAGTGGTTGTCACCCAGTCTTTCTCAGATTTATCCTCTCTCTCTGTCTCTCTCTCTCTCTCTGTCTCTCTCTCTCTCTCACTGTCTCTCTTCCATATCTTACCTTCTGTCTTCTATCTTTTTTCTTCTACATTTTTCTTTCACCTCTGTCCTCTCCTTCCCTCCCACCCCTGCCTCTCCCTCTCTCTCACCCTGCTGTATGGTGGGTTTGCAGTTGGTTCTCCGAGGCATGAGTGAAGCATTAGTAGATCGCCGGGCGGCTCCGGCCCTTATAACTCTGTGCAGTGGGCCTGAATTGTGAGTCAATCGACACAAGAAAACCTCTCTGTAAACAGTGTCTTTTTTGGGGGGGGGCTGCGTCCTTACAGTGTAAAACTGTGTCCTCCAGAAACCTGTCTCGCTGAGCTTGATTGGACGCTAATAAAACACAAGACATGTAACCCTCCACTGATCTGGATCCACACTGATTTGTGAAACATTAGTGTGGGATGAATGGGGACAACCTTCTTAGACTTCCTTTGACAGTTATTCAAAGATCAGATCTCCGACAAGTAAAAGAAAGATTTCTCGGACTGCCAGTGTTAATCCGGCCTTCATTTTTGGGATTACACAAGCTAATGAAATCAGTGGTCACACTGTTGGAATGCAGCCCTTTTCATCTCATCATTCTTTGTATTGAAATGCTATGCTAATGATTACACACATGTCCCCAACTTTTAGATTCAACATATATTAACTTTATCTAATCTTAGCATATGTTTTTGTAAGCTTTTTAAGATTTTTGGCATGATATCTTTTACGTAGAGACATAAAGAGAAACTTACTGGCCCGACTGTATCTTTTGGTCTTTCATGCTGTTGCTGACTTTGGAATGATTATCTAACATCACCCTAAGAGCACCCCATTAATCTTGCATTCTTTTCATTGATTGGTGTGAGATATTTTTATTATACATTTTGAATATATAAAGTTATAAAGCAGTTAGAAAATGGCAGACATTGATTATAGATCTGACATGTTCAGTATAGATCTGGGTCAAATATTATTTGTAAAATTTTGTTTAGTTAGGCTAGTTTCATGTTCTAGTGGAATACAGTACTAACAAGGTTTTGAAACATATATCATTTTGCATACCTTTTGATGCATCAGTTGATTTACCAGATATTAAAAAAAATAACTGATCCGAATACATCATTGGCAATTAGATTGTTGCAACTGCCCAGTCAAATTTAAACTTACAGGATCAGCTAAGCAATTAGACATGTGGTGTTTTATAGAAAATCCTGACTTGAATCTGTCATTTAAAAGAGATTAAAAATGATATGTCATGCAGTTGACAGCTATTTTTTTCACAGCCACTGGTCATGTAATAATTTGGACAGAAAGCAGAAATTAAACTGCTAGTCCACTGCGTGAGCAACCACCTTAGTCAGCACTGTGGTTACTAGCATGTCATTACTGTGTAATCACTATAGTTGGATAAAACCTAGAACATGTGTTAAAGTACTCTTCTTTGTGGTTTTAGTGTAGAGGCTTGGATAAAATACATAATTTCAGTAAAATCAGTTAGTATCAATGTTTGAAAATCTGCTTTTTTCACATAAATCTGATTTGAAATTTCAAAGTATTTGAAAATAATATTTGACTCATTCTGATTCTTGCGTAGAGACATGCTAATGGAGGGATTGGAGAGTGCCTAAAATAGTTATACAGTGACTGTGAATGGTGAAATCATTGTCTTACTCCCCTGCTGATTTTAGCTCAGTGAGGATATCCACCATCCCTGCCTTTGGTACCATCATGGAGACTGTCACGCAAAAGGAGGTGGGGAAACGAACTGCCTAACTGTACACAAGCGTAATACGCAGACAGTTCTTTTAATTAAACAAACCCTTACACTAATAATCATAAAAACATGTATAAATGTACTTTCTGCACGCGTGTGTGTAGCTGCTGGAGCGTGTAAAAATGCAGCTGGCGTCATTCCTGGAAGACCCTCAGTACCAAGATCAGCACTCTTTGCACATGGAGATCATCAGGACATTTGGAAGGGTCGGACCCAATGCAGAGCCACGCTTTAGAGACGATTGTATGTAAAGGACACAAATGGATAAAAAATTATAATTCCAACAGACGTCTATATTTTTTCTTCTGCTTTTGCTCTGCCTCTTACGTGCACTAACTTTCTGTCTGTATTTGTTCATTTTTTATTCCTATAGTCGTGTTGCCACACCTTCACAAGCTGGCGCAGGCCAACAACAGCCAGGCTGTGGAAAACAAGAGGATTGACATCGCCACCCAGCTGTTTGAGGCCTACAGCGCCCTCTCCTGCTGCTGTATCCTTCTATAGGTCATATATGTAATGGTCTTTGTTGGCTCGACCATGCACTGTTCAGTTTGGCTTTAACTTCTATGGGGGGACTTTTATTTATAGCCCTAATAACAGCTGCATACAGTCAGATAACATGAAATTTCAGGTGAAAGATTTTCCCCTTACTCATACTTTTTCTAACTGCAAAACTGTATGTATTTCCAACGGATTTACTAGAAGTGAGTGTCAAGGTTGGCTTGGGTTCAGGGTTAGCTGTTGAAACAGTGAGTCAGTGGGAAGGCCGTTAGAAAAGCCGGTCAAATGCAAGCTGCACTAGTTGAATGTGCTCCTCAGTGTGCCTGTATAACAGTGTGGTATGTATCAGCGATGCCCGTGTGTGTGTGGGGTTCAGTGTGTACGTTGGCAGAGTCTGCCTGTCATTTGGCAGGAGGAGAAAGGGAAAATAAGCTGCCTCCATTTTGGGGCTAGAGGTAATTACAGGGTTGGTTAAGCAAAGGAAAGGATGAGAGAGGGAGAAAGAGCGTGAGAGGAGGGAAGTACTGAACATCAGCTTCGATCCTAACAGTTCCCAGGTTAGGGCTCACATTTACATTACCGCTCCTCTGTCTCTGCTGTCCATCAGTGGTTCTTTCACTGCTTACCATTTCTCACATTTTTTTTCTCTCTCTACGCTGTCTCTCCTCTGTCAGCCCCACCCCACCCAGGTCATACACACACACATATATAGAGGACAGCTGGTCTGAGGTTCATTCCTGTGGATTTTTGTCAGGCTGTGATTTCACAGTGCCGTAGTGTCCAGGAGGTATAGCCCTAACCTCAGAGGCTTTACCTCCCACTGTACTTCTTTCTCTTGTAATCAGTGTGACTCTCTGAAATTGTACATTCCCATCTCTAAAAATACCGATGTGTTCACTTTGTGTCCCATATAGCTCCACTGGCTATGACAGGTGGCAGAACACGTGCAGTCCTGGACAGTGTACCATTGTGCTCAAAATTTTAGTTTTTGTCAACCTACTTTAGTGCCATTTGGTGCCAGTTAGTTAAGAATCTTTGTTTGCACAATCAAAGGAAAATATTTTCACATATATGTATATTACATATATTGACTTTTCTGATTAAAATGATCCTTAAACTCCACCCATCTGGTAATGCCTAGAAGCACTTTCCAAATAGTATTTGTAACTGCTTGGCCTTGAAAACACCAGCTTTTTCAGTTTCTGTCTGTACATGTAGTGAGAAAAGCAAGAAATTCTGGATAGAGAAGGGATTACAACACTCTGCTCTCCACTCTGAGATTAATGTACAAGAGGGTTATTACAATTATTACATAAATCAATATTTGGACTTTTTTTTTCTTTCAGGTCCTATTAGCAGTTTACCTCCGTTAAGCTACATTTAGTTAAAAATAGATATGTTTTTCTGTTAATATTTTCTCAATCAGATTATCACATTTTAAAATGACACCTGGGAACCCGGGTACTGAAAAAGTTAGCTTTACATTCCAGTCCTTAACTTCCTGTGCAGTCATTTCTGAGGAGGTGATGATGAACCACTTCCTGCCTGGCCTCAGGTGTCTCCACGCTGACATGGAGCAACTCTCCCCAGAACACGAGGTCAGGAGACACATCCCTGCACGCAGGAGGAAGGGATTTCATTCATTTATTCAGACACTGACTCTAACGCTCGCAATGCACACGTACAGTATCTCGTCTGCATACTCGCGCACTGAGGGCCAGACTGTCTCTTTCTTTCTCTGTTTATTCCCAGGGGATCTCACACAATATTGGTAAAGACAGACAGTCTGACTCTCTATCTCTTTCTCAGACACACTCATACACACACACACACACACCTATTTATTTGTGTCTCAGAATCTCACGCGATCCATTTCATGCGAGCATTTTCCCAAAGTGACTAACGATCAGCTGACTCTTTTCCCCTATACACATCCATGCTGTCTGTAAAGGCTACATACCAGATTCTAAGACAGGAATTATTTTCCAAGCTGGAACTTTCTTGCGTTTAAACACACAAATTCAACCTTTATATACCACTCCAGTAGGTAAAAGCATGCTGTTTGCAAGGTGACATTTCAACTTAATCTGTCTGTCATATCCTCAACAGGTTATTCTGAACTCTATGATCAAAGAATGTGAAATCAAGGTGGAAAACAGAGGAATGGGAGACGCACAAGGGTGAGAACAAACCCAACAGTCCCATTCGCATCACTTCTTCTGAAATGATTTGCGGTGATAGAGGTTTTTATTGCATGAGAGGCAGTGTCAGCAGCCTAAAGTGGTAGTTTAGAAGAATTTGGAGGGGGGAGAATTAGTCCTACTGGGAGGAGAGTGGTCACTTAACAGTGCTGGGACTGTGCCCGTATTGTGGGTTTATGCCCCAGGGGGAGAGGAGAACATGTTAAGAGTGTTGGAACCACACTCATTATGTGGGTATATGAGAGCAGAGAAATGAGAGTTATTTTGGTAAAGCTAAGAGAGCTGGGACACCAGCCATACTGTGGGTGTCTTTTTTAAAGGATGTTTCTCCCATCTTGTTGACATGTGTTCGGGACTCATTAAAAAGTTAAGTGTGTTTATATGTATGTAAGAAGTGTGTATACGTCTGTTCTTTCTGTGCACATATGCTCAGTTTGGGGTGTGTTCCCCTCCAAAAGCCTCAGTTAAAGTCTGAGGTTAAAATCTCTGTGTTTGTGCCGAGAGATTTTTTGTTCCTCTTTCATTTTGGTCCATCGAGTCTTTCTTTGACTTCTGTTACTATAATTGATAACTTGGATCTTGATGTATTTACTTTCTGGTATGAAATATTTTGGAAACTATATTTTCATATTTTGTTGTGGTCCCAGCTTAGTGGGCATTCTGTCAGAAAGACTTTTTGAATCACATACATTGGTGCAATTCATTGTAGATATGTATCCTTGAGGTCTGATGTTAAAGATGTGGTATTATTATTTTTGGCTTTTTCCCTCTCTTTTATTGAGTTATTTATCTTTTTTGTGCATGTACTAGGTTTGCAAAGTGAAAAAGCCACAGAAAACACTGCTCTGAACTGCCTGAAAACAGCTCGTTTGTTGTCCAGCCTTTACTTCCCTTTCTTGTGACGTCACAATGAAAATACATCAGTCATAATGCTCGCTGAGCGGCTAGTCCGACACGCCCTCAAAAACACCGGTGGAAAACACTCTGCAGCACACCTCTCCTCTCCCTTCCAAACGTTAGCTACCCTCCAAGCAGTCAATGGACATAAAGTTGTTACTGTGATGTAGAGACGGAGCTCAGTTAAAACTTTATGGATGAAAGATACTTTTGTTACCGATTAATTACTCACCACTCTGAAACTCTTGCTTCAGTCCAAATTGTCAACCTAGTCGGCAACATGTAGCCTACAGCTGAATCAAAGCTGTTTACCGTCTTTTCGCTGACCCGCCTTTCTCTGCTTCTGATTGGCTAGTAGTCCTTAACTAGGAACTGCGAGTGTGCAACTCCCAACAAAGATCATTTAGAGAGAAGATGTATCACTCCATAGCTAAAACGAAGCCTTTAACACACAGGGTGAAAAGAGGAGCTGCAGCAATGTGCAGTATGACAAAAAAAATGGTGTTTTTTGAAAATTAAACCATGTAAACCTGTTCTGGTACAACCCCTAAATAAGATTTTGAACCTGAAAATGAGCATAATACCACCTCTTTAAAGACTCCATATTGTGCCATATTAATTTTGCATGCGAAATTATTATGCACTTTTTTACATAAATACTTTATGTACACGTTAAGTGATACACAGAACCGTAACTTAAAACTGTTCGCAGAAAAGTTGAGGCCTTTATGCCACAACCCATGAGGCACTTTGAAACCGGTTGTTCAGTTGTCCTTATCTAGAAGCCACATGGTGATTTTCACCAGTCAACTGAGTCTGAGCTCCTTACATTCATTGACTTTAGTCCGGTGCTGGTGTTAAGATGTGATGTTTGTCCTTCTGTTAAGCAATGCAGCAGCTTGGCAGAGTGTTGTAACTGCTCCGTAGTATCAGTCTGAATGTCAGCTAACTCAAAAAGAGGAACTTGTGGAGCCGTTAGACTGTAAAGATCAGGAGTGGCTGTATTGGCAAACAGCATTTCCACTTTCAACGAAGTAGAGTAAATGCTGACACAAGCTCGTCAAAAGATAGTGGAGGATTGTGGAGGTTTCTTTCTGTACTGCTGTGCTTTTGTTTGTGCCCGTCTGTCAGTCGATATATGTTGATAAAGCAGAGCTTAACCTTGTTGCTTCATCGCAGCTAAAATTCAACCTTTTATCCTCTTATTCTCATTTTTATTTTATTTTTTTCCCATAGCTCCATGTCCATCGCCTCCAGTTTGGTGGGTGAGGATGCCAAGACCAAGTTCCTGAGCAAGATGGGTCAGCTAACCACCTCTGGCGCCATGCTGGCCAACGTCTTCCAGAGAAAGAAGTGATCACAACACTGACTGACTGATCAAGCCCTGCGACTAACTGACCTTCCCTGCTGGGAGCATTTCATTTTACTGGAAAAGGCATTGGTTCAGCCTAAAACAGAAGCAATCCAAGATTATTGTTTATTCAATTTCAAGAGATTAAGATTTGCTGAAAGTTGAGGTGATTTCAAATCTCCAGTGCAGCAGGACACCGTGTTCTTTAAAGGTGAACAGCAATGTTTTTTAAAGTGAAAGCTGAGGGTTTCCCCTCTGCCCATATTTCCCCTCCTTAAACCTTAATCATGACGAAAGGGTTGTCGAGGACTAGGGATTTGGTTTTGTGAGTCAATCTTGTTAACATTGTCATTTCAGAGAGAGGATGAAATGGAACAGTATTGAAATTCACTCGAAAGCGATAACAAGGAACTTGCTTCCTGGACGTTGCTGGACTCGAAAGTATCACAGAATTTCAATTTCAATTTCAGTGCAGTTCTACTTGTATCAGAAGAGCTTCTCTCGTCTCTAGGAAGCAAAACTCTGAGCACGGCCTGCTGGATTTTATTTTGAATTTTTAAACGCCATTTTGGAGTTGTCCATTCACTTTGCATTTGTCATTGAGTAATTGTGCTGAAAGACAACAAAATGGATCCAAGTCTGTTAAGAATGCCTTGTGCAGTGTATATCTGTACAACTCGCCTACTTGAAGCTATGAAATAGTCTTGCCTTTATTACTTCAAAGTCTGTCTCTGGTTTTTGTTTTGATAGCTTCTATTTTATAACTTATTTATGTCTTAATGAAGAAAAAACATACCTTATTCCAACTTCCAAAGATATTTGCACTTCACTTTACTATTTTGTTTGTTTATTAGATATATATATATGTTTTAATTGAGAGTATTACACATGGTGAACATTATCACTACGGTTTATGATTATTTTTTTGTTCATCTGTTTTGGCAATGTGTAGTTGAAGAGAACACTGATCATAATTATTCCCTCTGTCCGTTGCATCTAGTCTCTCTGTGTTGCAGTGTCTCTGATAATTGTACTGCTTTTTTTTTTTCTAAAGTGGGTATTTGGTTCTTTTTTTGTTGTTGTTCTTTTTCAGTATGCTCTAAGAGAAACAGTAAATAACTGTATCATACACTGAACCGAAGAGGATGGTACTCATTATGTATATTTGAAATTGGTGTCATGGTGTAATAAAAGATGGAGATGAGTTGTGTTCTTAAATGTACTTCTGGAGGCCTCACTGGATGTCCGCATGGTTTTCTTTCCCGCGTTTTGAATATTGCTCAAAGTGTCGACAGGTGTTGGTGGCTGTAAAACAAAGTCATTTCACTGACAATCACACTCTCCTACTGTCCCTGCCCCTCACATTCAACGCTTTGATGTAGTCCATTGTCTGGTTAGTACAACAAACCAAAGTCCATCTTAAGGGGCATTCCTAACAGCTTACCCCAAATAAATGCTAAGAAGTAAAAGCTGCAATCCGCTGTCAAGATTACACTATCTCTTGGCGCTTTAGAAAAATGTGGTTAACTTTGCCCTAAATCCTTGTAAGAAGACTTTTCATCTCAGTCAAAGAAGTGTGCACCTCTCCTCATAGTACTTTAACAGGGCCATTAAAGCACAAGTCATCGCTATCAGAGTTTGTCACTTCTGATTGACCTGTAGTGGAATCCAATGCATTTATTAGGGTTGAAAATATAAATGGCTCACGTAAGCCCTTAGAGCTGCTCTCATTTAGTGGCTGAACCTTGTAATACAGAAAAGCATTTGCATATATAGGCTAATATTCAACCATCATCACTGATAACCCACCAGGTGGACAAATAATTGATATAGAGCCGGGGTGTGTTCTCCCATCCCTGTGTGGGTGTGCCTGTGTATCTCCGTGCATATCTGGGGATAGGTGTGTCTAGAGACAGATGCCTGTTATGTGATTTGCTTTCATAGTGAATAGTTTTGTTTGTGTGTCAAAACAACAATTCTGCTTGCTAAGACCCTTGCTTGGCTTTTTAGCACGGATGTGTGTGTCAGCATGCAAATAAGTGTAACTGCATTGCATGCCCATCTGAGTCTGAATCTGTGTGAGTGTTGTGAAAATTTGCCTGCCATTTTTGTTTGTGTAGTAATGGCGTCAGCAGGCTACACTAAGTCACATTTGACGACGTTGGCGACTCACTGATCACATCTGTTTCCAAAGCAAGCGGGAGCAGCGCAGGTCCAACCCTAAAACCACCGGAACATGGTGGCTAAGCCTTAATGTTATTAGTCCACTGTGTTCTGTGTGTATGTGAGGGCCGTGTGCGTACTTTTCAGTGTGTTTAAGGGAAACGGTGCTGAACCCTTGAAGCTTCCTCCAAAATCATGGTACCAAAACAGGCTGTGGCCGCTTTCTTCCACGGAATGATTGTGTGTTACGTTAATGGGAACCATTCCGCAGCTTATGGTGTGTGTGTGCATTCTTGTGTATATGAGCTGTCTGGAATAGGCCTACTTCATGTTTTAAATTATTGCTAAGCAACACAACCCACTCAGCTGCACAGTCTTGTGCCCTGGCCTGGCCCAGGTCATTTAAAGTGGGGTGCTTGTAAACCAGCGGGATGTCTGCCTGCAGTGGATCTACATTTTTACACATCAAAACAGATCAGTTTTGTTGTTAGGGGTGGACTCCGGTGTGAATGTATGGCGCGTTTAGAGTCAAGCTGAGGTTTCTGATTGCTTAAAGAGTCCGATCTGGTCCTTAATTGCTACTGTGCAAGCTGCAGAGGCCCCACCGCAAGACAGCTTCTCTCAGCATGTTTTTACGGGAAGAGGAGTAGAGGGAGGACAGAGCTCATTACCTCCACTGGCTCAGCTTAAAACCCCCATTGTTCACTTCTCCTCTCCTTTCTTGTGTCAATCAGCTCTTTGTTTTGTCCATTCAGAGTCAACACATGCACTTCAATATTTGCATAACTGTCACCTTGAACAGAACACATTCTCCACCCTCTTAAACCTTCCCACTCATGACTTGCCAAGGTAGGCTGGGTGTACTCTGCCATGCAAATTCAAAGGGAAATGCACCCACTTTTTTTCTCCCCATTTGTCATGGAAGCAGAAAACATTTTATTTCCTGGAGTCAATTATTATACTGTTAAATAAATGACATTTGTAGACCATAGAAATGGTCATGGCTGTTCCAGGATCCGGGCTCCAGGAACTATGCTTGGGGCTGTCCACGCAATGACATGATGAATGGCAAATGCAGAAGTTGAGAAGTCAAAGTGTAACCACATGCTTTGCCTCCCATGGATGGTGTCATAGCTGAATTCATGTGAAGTCATAACTCAACTTGATTGTGCAATCACATGTTAAAGGTCCAATAAATTGTATGGGATGTGGGACAGCAGATTGTTATGACAGAAACATGTAGTGACATTTGTAATTCCAATGTATAAAGGTTCATGTTACCATGATAATCTTAGATCATTGACAGCAGACACACTTAGCCTACTCATTGTCTCATCCACATTCATTTATTCAGAGAGAGGAAGAGAGGAGGAGAGATCAGTGCAAAGAACCAGAAGGGGGGGTGAACTTTTTTCTTTTTAGCCTATATTACAACGTGGAGTTGTTCCCTCCCTTCCTCCCTCCCTCAGAGAGTCAGTCAGTCAGTTTTTACAAGCTGTTGCATGCAGCCCTCTCCACACACAACGCGTGGGTGAAAGCAGAAGGAAGATGAGAGGAGGAGAAGAGAGGTGGGACCTGCAGCTGCCTAACCTGGAAAGAAGGCGCAAGAATGCCCTGTGAGACGGTGTGGAGGACCCGCCACATACACGCACACAGGAAGAAGTGACAAGACTCGGATATTGGTGCTAAGCGTCATCTTCTTGGCTGAGAAGAAGAATAAGTTCACGTCAGAAGTAGTCTTCATTAAGCAGCAGAGATGAGATTGAACTTTTCTACAAGTTGGATAGTCCGAGGCTGGATGACGTGTGTCCTCGTGACCTTTTACGCACAGGTAAAAGACACATTGGTATTAAATAGAAGGTTAAAATGCCCCAGATAACAATATGACGGCGTCTATTAAATAGTCAAAATAGTCGATAATTACTTACTTATATGTTTTGTCTGCTGTGCACGACTTTTTTTTAGGGGCCTTCAAGTTTTAGTCGAGTGACGATGCAAAATACTGAGAATCACGATGGTTTATTTTTCTTGTGTAGATGGACAAGGAGATATGTAACAGTAAACCAGAATACGTGTCAACACATCACATGGTTTGTATGAACTGGTCAGAGAGAGATGGGAAAGGGAGGGGGTTGCATTTTTACGCCCGGACACTAACTGGAAACAGTTATGTTTGGGTCGAGTCCACCTCCCCTGTTCTGACCGCAAAAACGCCGCTGGCAACTAGATGCTCTTCTCCCCTCACCATGCATTCTCTCCCGGTCCAGAGGGGGACCGGCGCGAGCCAAATGGCTCATCAGGAACCTCGTTAGGTTTGCCAGATGAGACGTTTCCAAAGTGAGGAGCAGGGAGCAACAAGGGGATACACTAAAACTAAAAATGGTTTTATTCCCTAGAGATTAGGACTGCAACGTTGTATTGTTTCACTGTCACCATAAGGCTATAGGCAGAGGCTATAGAACACATCATACATAGCATCACTTTTTTGTGATGCTTTTTTTAAAATCAGTGCCATACCTCAAACACATAAAAACATAATGTCTCAGCTGATCTAATTTGTGGGGGGAAAAAGTGAATGGCCTGACATGCTGTTGTCCATGTTGTTGTTTAGTCCAAGCAGCTAACTCTGTCCAGGTGGAGTAGTTTATAAGATGTGGTTGTAGTGGTGGGACTGCTGGGCACCAGTGATCTATCACTGCCTGTTTGCCCGCATTACCGTAAGCAAGCATCGTTAAGACTTTGACTGGAACAGACGCTCTTTCTTACCCTGTTTTTCTTCTCTGCTGCCTGCAAGAGACGATGCTCAGGGAGGGTACTGAAACTTGTCCATGTTGAGCTCCAGAGAGGTGATGGCACAGAAGAAAGATGTTTTTCACAGACTGTCGAATGCAAGTCACATTTGTTCAAGTAACAAGAGTGAGCAAATACAGATGCAGTGCCTGGAAAACGTGTCAGTGTGTGGAAGAAATATTTTTCATCTGCGTTTTAAGGTGACACTGCAAACCTTTGGCATTGGTTTGTTCTCACCGTGGTCTTGCCATTACTGACTCACAGTATCCCCAAAGAATTCCCCCTCATTCTCCTGGTTTTCAACCACTTCATCCAATCCAATCCAAAATTCATTTCAAACTGTCTGTGTGACATTGAGCAATACAAGATTACTTCAAGATGTTGAGAGCTTAAAAGTCAATATATCATGAATAAAGTGAGCTTTGAGGGATTCATTTACTTGCCTACCCGCATGGCTCCTGTACATTTTATTAGTCAGGTTCTCCAGCCATTCATGCGTTGACCAACTTCATTCAACCGTCCATCAGCAATCTCTCACTACACCCCTTTCCCTACATCTAATATTGGAACTACAACCCTTCTTCACTTAAATCATTTTCTTCATCATGTTTTTTTTTCTCACCTCCTGGAACTCCGTCCATCCTTCCACCCATTCACACTCCCACTGTCACATGAGTAATCAGTGTTGTGTCTTCCTCGGTTTGAGCAATAACAGTACTTTGCCTCAGGCCTGCAGATCCAAACTTGATTTAACTATGCAAACAACAGAGACATTTAATTGATAGATAAACCATGCAGCCTTCTATGACAATAGAGCTTTTTGTGGAGAAAGGAGAACGAATTGCCGTTTTTAAGACCTAACATAGTATGTCTCTTAACACATTAAGCTATGTCTAGTTAAATTAGATTATAGTTGTTTGGGGATTTGTTTCCCAACTTTTCTGCTGTATCTGTTCTTCTGGTAATTGAGTTGAGTTTCTATAGTTTCTCTTTTTTTGTTCACAGATTGTTGGCCATCGCTGTACATGCTGATTTTCTAGCTCTTCTTTTGCATTAAGCCACTTTTCTGCTGCAATTGTAATGTAAGTGCACCAGAGAAGTTTTCAGAGGAAAAACCCACAGTGCCTATCTCTTGATATTCAGATTTTATTGACCGGGTAGCAAGAACATCACAACCAGTTTTTGAGATAAGACAAAATGGAATGTGGCAAACAAACACAAACTGTTTGATTATTACTTGAGTAATAATCCACCGTGTCTTTTAGATGGTAATGTGGTTGACATTTTTAAAGTACCCATCAAGAGTATGAGATTGTGAAACCAGTGAATATCCTTATTTGTGCAGGTGGCACTTCAAAGGATTTGTTTTTATGGCTTTAAAATAATTCTTCACAGGTGCAAACATTGTACAAAGATTCAATTGTTGTGCATTACGCATTTACAGCACCTTATCATGGATTGCTGAAATCCCTGGAGGCCCAAAAGTCGTGTTTGCTTCTCTTGGCTCTGTGCCGAAGGCTGTTGTGGCCGTTATGCAAATTTTCTGGTACTCTGACAGCGAACTGGAATGCACTCCTGCTTGGTTTGATAGGATCACACAACAGGTTAAGGGTTTACAAGATAAACAAAACAGCTAGGAGAAGATGACAAAAAAGGTCAGTAACTGAATATCACTGGAGCAACAGCGCACTTAATGCCCCTTTTCTTTCTTTTTTCTATTCAGTGCAGCTCACTCTATCTATCCATTTTACTATTTCCCCTTTTCCCTCTCCTGTCTCTTTCTTTTTGCAATTTCTGTTAGACTCACAGATAAGTGTATATTTGAATACATACAGCAGATAAAGTTAGTTTTGAGGTTGGAAATTCTATCTTAACCGTTATGATAACCTATAATCATATAGGGTGGATCATCTCTTTTCCTCTTACATATATATTTAGTGAGTCAAAACATATTGCCTCGCATTACTGAGACCCAGTGTTTAGATGTGGCGGTCACACAAATACAATTCCCAGCATTCTTTTGGCTTCCGGTGCACTCTAGCCCAGTTGTGCAGATTGGCCACCACTGGCTTTACAGATGTGTCTCCACATCTGTCTTCATCTGTCTTTATCTATCTAAGACAAACCCTTCGCATGGGAATCTTTCCTACTCCTGTCACTTCTGTCTGTTTCAGCACATGGTCCTCATTAGTGCTGCGGTCCGAGCTATAAGTGCTGTGCATCATTATCCCTCTGGTTAGATTATAAAACAAAGGCCGGCTGATGTGTGAGAAGCTGAAAGGAGGTAATTAAACGCCTGCCAGTGTTGCGCTGTCGTAGCCTGAGGCTAGACTGACAGACCCTGAGAGTTAAACGGGGAGGTGTGAGAAAGAGAGGGGAAGAAACAGCAAGGGAAAGGGGAGGAGAGGGTATGAAAGAATTCAGTGGTTCCTCCAGAATTGTATTGCTGTTAGATAAAACTACAAGGTTGACATCTCTTTGACAAAGTGATCCTCTGAATTTAGTGGCAGGGCAAACTTAAGCCTTTAAATGATGAAATAATTACCAAATAATATTTCCTACAATGCAAGACCAGCATTTCTTTACTGTACGTATGAATGACTTAATTAGTGCATCAATTCATGGGAAAATGGAGCTTTATGAAGGGCTGAATAAGAAAAAAAAGAGGTTAGTCTGAGGTCAGAGTGCAGTCCTATAGGTTGTATTTTTCTACATTTATATGTAGACATTGCGGCTTTGGCATCATTTCTGTCATAACAGCCAGATTCTCTAATTCAGCAATGTGGCAAAGAGTTCACCAGCTCCTCATATAGAGGGTGGCTGCAGGGTGTGTACTGTGTGTGTATGTGTGTGTGAGCCTATATGGTTTAGCTTTGCGGTTTAAAACATGCACATACAGTGGGTACGGAAAGTATTCAGACCCCTTTAAATTTTTCACTCTTTGTTTCATTGCAGCCATTTTCCAAAAATCAAAAAAGTTCATTTTATTTCTCAGTAATGTACACTCAGCACCCCATCTTGACAGAAAAAAACAGAAATGTAGAAATTTTTGCAAATTTATTAAAAAAGAAAAACTGAAATATCACATGGTCATAAGTATTCAGACCCTTTGCCGTGACACTCATATTTAACTCAGGTGCTGTCTATTTCTTCTGATCATCCTTGAGATGGTTCTACACCTTCATTTGAGTCCAGCTGTGTTTGATTATACTGATTGGACTTGATTAGGAAAGCCACACACCTGTCTATATAAGACCTTACAGCTCACAGTGCATGTCAGAGCAAATGAGAATCATGAGGTCAAAGGAACTGCCTGAAGAGCTCAGAGACAGAATTGTGGCAAGGCACAGATCTGGCCAAGGTTACAAAAAATTTCTGCTGCACTTAAGGTTCCTAAGAGCACAGTGGCCTCCATAATCCTCAAATGGAAGACGTTTGGGACGACCAGAACCCTTCCTAGAGCTGGCCGTCCGGCCAAACTGAGCTATCGGGGGAGAAGAGCCTTGGTGAGAGAGGTAAAGAAGAACCCAAAGGTCACTGTGGCTGAGCTCCAGAGATGCAGTCGGGAGATGGGAGAAAGTTGTAGTAAGTCAACCATCACTGCAGCAATCCACCAGTCGGGGCTTTATGGCAGAGTGGCCCGACGGAAGCCTCTCCTCAGTGCAAGACACATGAAAGCCCGCATGGAGTTTGCTAAAAAACACCTGAAGGACTCCAAGATGGTGATAAATAAGATCCTCTGGTCTGATGAGACCAAGATAGAACTTTTTGGCCTTAATTCTAAGCGGTATGTGTGAGAAAACCAGGCACTGCTCATCACCTGTCCAATACAGTCTCAACAGTGAAGCATGGTGGTGGCAGCATCATGCTGTGGGGTGTTTTTCAGCTGCAGGGACAGGACGACTGGTTGCAATCGAGAGAAAGATGAATGCGGCCAAGTACAGGGATATCCTGGACGAAAACCTTTTCCAGAGTGCTCTGGACCTCAGACTGGGCCGAAGGTTTACCTTCCAACAAGACAATGACCCTAAGCACACCGCTAAAATAACGAAGGAGTGGCTTCACAACAACTCCGTGGCTGTTCTTGAATGGCCCAGCCAGAGCCCTGACTTAAACCCAATTGAGCATCTCTGGAGAGACCTGAAAATGGCTGTCCACCAACGTTTACCATTCAACCTGACAGAACTGGAGAGGATCTGCAAGGAGGAATGGCAGAGGATACCCAAATCCAGATGTGAAAAACTTGTTGCATCTTTCCCAAAACGACTCATGGCTGTATTAGATCAAAAGGGTGCTTCTACTAAATACTGAGCAAAGGGTCTGAATACTTATGACCATGTGATATTTCAGTTTTCTTTTTTAATAAATTTGCAAAAATTTCTACATTTCAGTTTTTTTCTGTCAAGATGGGGTGCTGAGTGTACATTACTGAGAAATAAAATGAACTTTTTTGATTTTTGGAAAATGGCTGCAATGAAACAAAGAGTGAAAAATTTAAAGGGGTCTGAATACTTTCCGTACCCACTGTATGTTTAACAGCTGCCTCAAGGTTTGTTTGTTTTTTGTATCTCACTTTTTAAACTCACCAATTACTTAATAGGTAGGTTGAATAGATCACCCTGCCAAAAACATGTTAGTGTGGCAGCTAGTGGACATTAAGAGATTTTCTGCAGCCAAGTGTTTATTAATTTCAAACCAAATTCCATTGGATGCCACTTGATTCTCCTTAAGTAACTGGGTACTATTGGGGTTTGATTGCTAGTTTAGAGGGTGCACAGTGCTGTGGTCAGGTGCTTCTGAGAGTGAGGAAATAATTCCTTGGCATGTCTTGGAAATGTTTTAACCATCCTCTTCCTGTCATTACTCACCGCCATCTCAAAATATCATGTGTGGAAATGAAAGATGAACTGAAGAAGGAAACGGATTGCCGTAGAAAAGCGTGGCATTCATTGAGGGAGATTATAAAGCAAGATTTAAGTTTTTGATCAAACAAATACAAAATATAATAGTTATCATGTAAATCGTAACATATTTTCTTTATATAAACTTTATGCAAAATAACTATTTTTATGTCATATTATTTTTTAGAATGCGATCTCCAAATCTCTCCAGTGTGATGAAAAGGAGTACTTAAGTAAAAGCTCCAGGTGCTGCAATAAGTGTCGGCCAGGTAATAACACACACACACACCCAGCTTACATCGGGCGAATGGCGGGGTACACCCTGGACAGGTCACCAGTCCATTGCAGGGCCACACATAGACAAACAACCACTCACACTCACAATCACACCTAAGGACAATTTTTTAGAGACACCAATTAACTTAGCCTACATGTCTTTGGACGGTGGAAGGAAGCCGGAGCACCCGGAGAGACCCCACGCAGACATGGGGAGAACATGCAAACCCCACATAGAAAGGCCCGGGCAACAGGGGCCTAATTGAAACCTGAATTCTAAAACCAAATCTTAGACCCTCAAAGAGCTATCTCTACCTGTGAGGACCTCAATTTTGAGTCCCCATCGATTATTGTGCACCGGGATATAAAAACATGAAACACATACAAAGAGCACTCCAAGTATAAAACAAGCAAGTAGAAATAGATTTCCATTCACAAATATCCTAAATCAAAAGAGGAAGGATGTTTATAAATGGAACATTTTGGCTTAAAATAGCTAAGACGTGCACATTACGCCCGGATGTTTTCACAACCACATACATACACACACAATTTATGATTAACTTTGATCCACTAGAGGAACCAACTTCTTTAAAAGAGCAAAATGGCTCTAATTTTGTCAATTTCCTTCGTCTTTTGTGCCATTAGGTTTTGAGTGGTTAATGTGATTATATACGGGTTTTTAAATCCATCTGTCTTCCTCACTCACTCTGTCTCTCACTCTCTTCCACTTTTTTTTGTTAATTAGGCTTCCGTGTGTTTACTGAGTGCACTGGTTCCGTCCAGACTAAATGTGTCAAATGTAGTAGTGGTGAATACCAGCCCGGATGGACTGAAAAAACGCGCTGTTTACAGCAGAAGTTCTGTGACGAAGGTCAGTACCTGCGGTTTGAACAAAGATTTTCAAAATCTTGAAACACCATAAGGTTTTGCTATTTATGTCTCATCAAGACAAATGTCTAGAATGTTTAGTGATTATTGTTTCCAGATATTTTGTCAACCCATTTACTTGCATTGGAGAACAAAATAGCACAAAAATGCTGCCTTTGGCCTCCAGTTAAGGGTTTTATGAAGATGCCTGAAAACCTTGAGGCAGAAGAGTCGTGCCGCTGCCTATCCGGCCTCCAATGCCATCCCATCAACTGTGAGTGGTGTGAGCAGATACCCCCCTGCAGAGCTGGAGAAGGACTCGAGGTAGACCCTGGTGAGACACACTAACACAAAATGCATTGCATTCATATCAAACAATTACAGCGGAGTTTCACTTATATTACAATGTCTGATGTTAATTTCAGAGTCTCCTTATGGAAGGATGATCTGTGTTGCGTGTAAGAAAGGCTACTTCTCTGATGAAAATACTCACAATCAATGCAAACCATGGACTAAGTAAGTGTATATATTCACATGCATGCACACAGTTTTTAGCCTGGAATCTTTTAATGTTGTGATGGGAAAATGCTTTTGGGTAGCTGTCCACTGCCTCAGTACTAACCAGCTGTCATGAGTAATTCTCACACCGCTTCCCCTGGAACCCCAGACCAGACACCAGCCTCCACTGCCGGCCGGATCCGTAATGATGATGATGATGATGATGATGATGATGATGGAAAGAGGGAGAGAGAGAGAGAAATTAGTTTTTCTCTCCATCTGTTCCTCTCTCAGTCACTGCAGATCCAACTCTAAAGGATGGGAGCTTGGCTGTTGAAATGTAGAGGGAAAGAAAGAAGGAAAAACATGTCCACTTGTACAAATATTCCTCTTCACTCCATGTTTTTTCATCCTCTCGTCTAGTTGTAAGGCTGAGGGCCGGAGTGAAACGCAACCAGGCAGTGCAAAGGCTGACGCAGTATGTGGACAACCTTTCTCTGGTAAGACATAGACACATTTGCCACAAACACCACAAATGCCAATTTAATGTATTTTTAACAAGTAATCACAATAAAGATTCACTTACTTAGAGCAAATGAGGCAGATGAAGTTTAAATGTCATATGAATGTTGGAAAAAGACGAGGAAAAACTGATTTATTGTGTCTCTGGCAGACATTTATGAATGACAGTGGATGTAGTGTAGAAAAGCAAGCTCTGAGCTTCTTTCTTGCAGGTGCAGCGCCCTCCTGGGTCATAGTTTCAGTGCTGTCAGTTATCACTGTTCTGTGTCTCCTCATTCTGCTCCTCTTCTGCTACAAGGACAAACTGAAATTACTCTCTGGTAGGTCACCATCATATTTCTTCTCTAGCTAGATGTTTCATTATTGTTTTTACTTGAGTTTTTGATTGATTTCAAGGTGTCGTAGACATTGGTTCACAACAGACATTTAAATTTGACTTTCTGGGCATAGAATCTTTGTAGCACATCTTCACTCGTGTTAAGATACAATATGTTGTTTCTTTTCCTAGTAAATCTGCGATCCTGTGTCCAGAATCTGAAGAGGACTAGGATACAACAGGTAAAGTGGAAAATAATTAAAAAAGCAATAGATACACAGAAACCAACATTATTGCAAGTCATCCCATCTATGTATTAGATTAAAATATCTGATTAAATGAAAGGGTAAGGAACAAACACAGCACTTAATGTCTATTATACATGCTGTAGGGTTTCGGAAATCACACATTTCTTATTATTCATTCAGAAAATACCATCTATTTACAGTGCTTCTTTCTTTGTTTCTGTTGTTCTAGGAGACCTTGGCCCCTCTGTACCACAGTGGAGCAGGAGGAGGAATAGGAGGAGGCCCTGGAGGCTCCAAATGTACACCATGTGAGCTGACCAAACTCTACCCACCCCCCCGCAGCCCACTGATGAGCCTCTATGCACCTTCCCCACCTCTGTCTCCGATGTCAAGGTCTCACTGCCCTTCACAGGGGAAATGAAAGAGGAAGAAGGGACCAAAGGCAAGACAGTGATGGAGGATCAGAGTGAAGGGTCTGGAGAACCTGAGGAGGTGTCAGAAGAAGAGGAGGTTGTGAGTGTGCTTCCTCTTTTGGCAGGTTCTTGCGTGTGTGTCATTCCCATCCATGAGCCATTGGAAGTAGGTGAGAATGAGGACTGTAGCCAGGCTGTCAGCCCCGGGACTCCAGCAACCTGCTCATGCGGAGGGCTTGATGGAGATGAGAGTGGGAAAGAGGAGAAAAGTGAGAGTGTAAGGGCAGACAATGGAGAAAAGGGTGACGGAAACCAAGAAAAGGTTTTGTCCAAGAGTGAGACAAGTGTTGCGGCTCTTGACTCTCTTTCGCCTCCTTTCTTCCACACCTCCTCTGTAATCACTCCCTCCGGTCCAATTCCTGAACTCTGCCTGCCGTTGTCTCAGGCTCATGTGAGGCCGGAGTTTAAACCTGACCTGACTGACAGGTCACTGGTAAAACAAAAGGATTTATACAGATTGGCAAGCACAGACTCCACCTTAACAGAGAAAAACCCCACGTGACCTCGGTCAGCCCCTTGATGACATCCTCATCTGTTGGAGATCTCTACCTGGACAAGCCCCCTGAGTCCTCGAGCCCGGAGCAAGGCCTGGGACTTTCCTGGAGGGATAGTAGGGGAAACAAGCTCTCTTCTGTGGAGTCGGAACTGGAGTGCTCACCTGAGAGCCTCCATAGTCAGCTGGCTGAGCCAACTCTTACCTCAGGTAGGTGAAAAGTGTGAAACTTCATCAATTTCAGCTCATCTGTGTGGAAGCCTGTTTCTGCCAGAAAAAATAAAAACGTAGATGAAATAATAGGGATGACAAAAATAAGAATACTAATACATTTACAATTTACAATTATGAAATGGGAGGTCAAAATTATGAGATACAAAGTCAAAATTACAAGTTAGTAAATCAAAATTCTGACTTTTTAAGCCAAAACTATGAGATAATATATATAAAACTAGTAAGTCATACTTTTAATTTAATATATACACTTAATATACATTTGACGTAATAGTTATTATCATAATGTGTATCTAACTTAGAGTTATCGGAATTGTGAATTATGACATACTTCAGATTATTCTCCCACTTAAAAAGAAAATGTCTGATGTGTGATTTTGTAGTATTGCCATATGTCCATTTTTTTACCATGACAGAAATGGGCTTCCATACATCTGTGTGTTGATTCCCAGAAAGTCAAGCTTTTTTTAGCCCTCTGCAATACAAATGTGCAATGGAGCTGGATAATTCCTGGATATTTTTGCTAAGACCACTCAACAGTGTCAATGAAAGCCAAATGCACAGTGTGTGTGTGTGATGGGGATAATGGCTCATTACAAAGGCTGTGGGACCATAGTAGTGTTTGTCAGGTGGGTTCTGTGTTCTTTGTTTGTGTAGGCAGTCACCACTGTATTGCCACAGGGTCATTCCTATACATGATTTGATACAGTACATAGCAGTGTCCCCCCGTCCGCAGAATAGGTGGGACTAGCCGCCAAGAATAACAGCACAGAATGAAATATATGTTGGTTAAATGGAAAGTTTGCTGTCACATGGTTGAACTTCTATTGTTCTCACAGAGACCTTTGCACACTGCCAAAGAGAAAAATCTCCGGGAAACACTGAGTGGTTATGGTTAGTTATAAAAGAAGTATTATCAGAACAGTCTGATCCGGACAGTGGTTAGCTCAAACTGGGGTATTATTAGGTGAACATACCGAACACAACTTATAACAGAGGATTGGTTTCAGCATAAGAATAAGAAGTTCGTGTGATTGTTTCCAAGAAATATGTTTTATTAAAGCCCGTACTGATAGTACCGTACTGACCTCAAATTTTGGAGGACCACACAGGGAGCAGGAATAAGATATGTGAGTGTTTGATGAGCTAGTGAACCACCAGAACCACACTCTAACATACAGTGTGTGTGTGTGTGTGTTTGTGTGTGTGTGTGTGTGCGTGTGTGTGCGTGTGTTAGAACTATGCCATCTACAAAGCTCCTGTTTACCCAGAGTTCCGTAGGGTTGCGCAAAGTGACCACAGCTTTAATTGAAGCAAGATGTGCGCAGCTTGAGTAATACTTTTATATCCCTGCCCACCCAACAAAAACACACACACATACAGTACACACACACATATACAGCACATATACACACAAACTTGTGAAGGCTTTTTTTTTTACTTTCACAGATGACTGGGTGCTTTAATTACATGCTTCTGGCCTGAAATGAACACCATTTCCCATCATGCAGTAATGGCAGGTCATTAAATAGACTTCCCGCACATGCTATTTAAAAGTCAAGCATGGGTCAGAGGTTTCACCTGTCCACCTGAAATATTTTTTTAGCCTCAAGTCTCACATAGTTCACACATAAAAGCTGCCCAGAATACAACATCAGTCTTATCTGTTGGCCGCTGAACTGCTCCAGTGGAACAGTTCGTTCAAGGGCACCTCAACAGTAGTAATCACCCAGATATATTTTACTGGTCGAGGAATTAAACTGGCAGCTGTCCAGGTAAAATGAGCAAGATTCTGCAGAGAACTACAATTGTGGTTTTCCCTGAGAGAGGTTCTACAAAAGTTCAACTTTAGTCTTTGGTTTAAAGCCCCTGTCAGTAGACTACTGATTGTTGTTGGGCATCCAGAAAAATCAGCTTGGTATTAAGAAAGGATAAACAGAAGAAGCAAAGCAGATTCCGTAGAGCTTTGTTTTCAAAGTTGTGGTGAAATGACATATTTTCAAGCTAGACCTCTCAGACTGGTATTCCGGGAAAAGCTCTCAGATGGGGAACACAGAGACACACTTTTGGTGTGTGTGTGTGATTGCGTTTGTCTGTCTTTGCAACTTTATATGGCTATGTGTGCTTTTCATTGTGTGTGTGTGCATGCGTGTGTGTGCGCGTGTGTGTAAAAGTGTCTGCAAGAGCCTGTTTGCTCACATTCATTGTGATTATGTGTGTGCGTGTGCACTTATGTGTGAATACATGAGGCATGAGCTGTTAGTCACGGCGAATAGGCTTGTTCTGTCGGCTGGGAAGTCAGACAGGAGGCTGGATAAAATAGGAACTAGGGGCTTAATGTGGTGAAAGATGGCTTACAAAACAAAAACACAGTTTATTTCCTAATTCACCTGGCTGGCTGAAACCCATATATGAACTCTACATGAACATTAGCAGATCAGGACAAGTTTCTACATGCTAGATTTACAAGGAGAAGCTGAGGTAAACCATGGAAGGTTCCCTTTTGGAGAAACATGCTACTGGAAGGTTAGAAAGAGTTGAACAGCACTTTTTTCTTTCTTTTTTGCATTTATTCAGCCATGCCTGTAAAACCCTAAACCCTTGACAAATAGCTTATTTTCAGAGATCTCAAGGTTCTCACGCTAAAAAGTGCTGGACTCTGAAACAAATAAGGCAGAAAGGATATGATATGGCGGTCTATGTAGCTGTGGCCTATCTGTGGTCATCCTGCATGGTCATTACACCCACTGTCCATTTGTCATCTGAGGTTAGCCAAGATATTCCCTTATTCACTTACATCATGAATAGGGGAAGCCTGCCTCTGGGTAGGGGGTGGGAGGTATTATACTCCATCGTAATACAAAAAAAAATGGACATACCAGGCAAATATTATCCATAAATAGTGTCCTGTTTCTCACTCTTTTGCTTGCGTCTTTATGTGTTTTTTTACTTCTCACAATCTCCTCTTTTTCTCCCTCACACATTTTTTCCATTCAGGTCAGGTGTCTGGGAACAACAACACCACCTTCATCTCCAGCGGTCAGGTGATGAACTTCAGCGGTGATGTCATCGTCGTCTACGTCAGCCAGACGTCTCTCGGCAGCGAGGAGACGGGGCAGGACCATGCCTTTGGGAGCCCTGTCCAGGAGGAGGCCAATGAGACGGACCCGTTCTTCCAGAGCAGCCTGAGGTCACAAGGGACTCTGTCTCCTACAGCACCCTGCAAGACGAAACACTGCCAGTCCAGGAAGCGATGGAGGAGCGGCCACTTGGAAAATGAAAAGGGATCAGTGGCTCTTTATTTGTCAGTGCAGTGATCATCTCCGCAATCATCAGTTATCACAAAAATGAACTCCTATCATTTCTGGTGGTAACCTTACATATCATACACAGCTCCAAATGAAATTACAAAATGAACTGAAAAAACCATCTGTCATTTGTCTATCACACCACTCTCCATTCATGAACAAGGAAAGGGAGGCCTTTACTTAAAGGCAGGTGATTGAGAGAGCAACATTTAGGGATGTGAAGCTATCAATCTATGCCTATATAATTTGTTTGGAATGTAATCTTCTGTATCCTGTCCCATTTCACACATTAGTTAGTATGAATCTTGCCTCAGGCATCTCTAAAGTGCCTTTTTTCATTGTACAGTGGAAAGCTGCAGGCTTTTTCAGATGGAAACTCCCTCCATTCCAGACAGTGATGGGGAACTTTGTTGGGAATTTGATGTGGAACTAAAATCCAGACTGGAAGAACGTCATGTTTTTTATTGTTGTGTGGAAATTGCAGCTGGGTTTTGATACAAAGAAGTCACTACATTTTTCATTTGCCACCTTCCATCACAGAATGGCCCAGGTTAAATTTGAATACTCCTAGCTTTAAATTTGGATGATTTGAAGAGTTTCCTTACATAACAAAATATCCACCATGTGGAAATAATTGTGTTTGCTCTCACTAAATCATGCCACGAAGTACTAATATTGTTTGGTGTGATGTTTGGAACAAAATTCAATCTACTGGCTACATCTGGCAGGGTAGAATTTAAGTTCGTGAAAAAAACAATAAAAACCCACAATGAATTTAAAGCATTTCACAGAGTGAATTTTCAGGGTTTAACAGAAGCTTTTTTGCAGTAAAGAGACACATCCAGTTTTGGTACGACTTTTTTTATTCTCTTCTCATTGCACCACAAGTGCAGTTTGCGTCTAAGAAAAGAAAATGCTGTGCATTTGATAAGCTATTTTATTACTGGTCTGTTTTGTTTCATTATGTTTTAATGTGCAAGCCTAAATGAAGAAAGTAAATGTCAGCCTGTTTCTATTTAGTTTTAATTAATTTTACAAAGTCAATTGTTTATGTATTATTTCAGATGATGCATATAAGATCAATGTTTATGTATATTTCAAAAGAAGCTTGATGCATTTTTGAAACAAGAATATTCTGTTTGTGCTTTCTTGCGTTTGATCTGAGGTGTGGATGTGCCATTAACAGCCGGCAAAATGCACACTACAGAAGTTAAAAGGGACAGTTACAACCTCACCTTATGTATGCCGCCTTAAAATAATTATGTACATATCAATCAAAGCTATTGCAATGAATGACAAAGATATTTTGATTGGAATTAAATGTGTTTTGCATCTAATCCTTTCAGGGATGGCTGCTATCCTGCATTCTGTGGTTCCTTTATGTCAACTTTCCTATTCTGGGATCAACAAATTACAATGAAGGAGTCGTTTATCTCTTCAAGATGATCTATAATCTTTGTGAAGCAATGCTAATTACATGTGGCAAGGCCTCTCTGTCTTGGTCCCCCTGTTGACAGACAGACAGACAGGCAGCCTTTCATCAAGCCTGGGGATGGCGAGCAGCTGTGAGGAGAAACTACTCTAGCAGCAGACCAGCTAGCGTCACAGAGAGACCACATGAGAGGAGCTGGCAGCACTCATTTAGGCCTGGTTTGGGTCAGCAGGAGTGTGTTTACACATATATATGTGTGTGTGTGTGTGTGTGTGTGTGCGTGCGCGCGCATCTTGTCTCGGCTTATTTTATGGTTGTTTGTGAAAACAGGAAGTTATGACTAGCTTTCACATGGTTTACATGAGACCTGGCTGGCCGGCCAACACAGAACCTGACTGTAGATTTAAAGGATTTCAGCTTCTTTTTTTTTCAGCCTCCCATGTGTGAGAAAAACAGTCTCTCATTTGACTGAAGATATGTAGGAAGTTGTTACAGTCCACCCCCTAGTGGTAACTGTATGTTAGAAAGGCATATGAACAATTTTGACTTTGAAGGCACGGCTCTGTTTTTTATAAGAAGCTCCTACATTGACCAGATATAGTCTGCAGTCTCATTTAATATGCTAATATATATGGCCCATTTATCACTACACACCCAATTTTTAATGGCAATAAAATAAAAGGAATTGATGCCGCTGAAAAGGGGGAGGGGAGTCCCACTCTTGATTAATGCTGCGGGT